ACCACAGGGAACACCTGTCCCACGACGACCACAGGGAACACCTGTCCCACGACGACCACAGGGAACACTTGTCCCACGATGACCACAGGGAACACTTGTCCCAAACATGAAATGGCACCATAATCTGCATGTGCCAGAGACATTCTCTCACACATCTGTTTTCAAATAGCCTTCCCATAAGCAATTAGTTATCATTTTTCTCAGCCAAAAGTGAGAAATATTTCTCAACCCATTGACACTCCTGCTCTCTCAACTCATCTTAAAGTAAGGAACCAAGTGTAAAAGGATGCAGGGCCTGGCACAGCTGGGGTGCCAGGCTGGTAGATGCTTGGCTGTAGACGGGATCACGATGGTGACCTGCACTCTCACTACCCTGAGGATGACTCAAGGGGTTTGGACCACATGCAAGGTTCTGTGCTTGTCTGTTTGTTAATTTGTCTGGTTTGCAAATATACAATTACAGGCATCAGTTGCTTGTGGTTTGAAAAATATTCAAGGCCAAAAATTCAGGTGCTAGCAACTACAAGCTTTTTTATTTTATCCTCTGTGTAGTCTGGAAAGTCGCATAGATTCCAACTTCTGCCGATTCATTTTTAATGGATCACTTTGTTCCATAAGATTATGAGGGTCTCGGGAACATTATTCTCAGAGCCCAAGGTGGTATTAGGTACGTATGAGATTGCTCACTGAATCTTCACACTGAATGGATAGAGGAGCAGACATCCAAACGGACAGATGGATGAATGGATGGCTGGAGGAGGGAAGGGAAGGAAGGAGCATATGTAAATGATCCAGTTTACTAAGAGTGGGCACCAGCTTCTTTCCGTGCAATTAAGATGCTTAGACAACATATGCATGAAGCCAAATATACAAGGACATACTGCAGCACCACGCATGGTAATGCAAGCCTGCGAGGAAGTCATGAATAGTTATATAACACGGAGTTAGACTACACAGCTACCAAGCAAACTGCAGTCTTCCTTCTCTGCTAATGAGGAATGGCCTAAGATAGAACACCAGAGTCCAAATCCTGACACAAGACAGGTGGCAGAGAAGAGGGAGGGAGAGTTGTGTGCCTGTGCACTTGGACTGAACATTTTGGGAGGAAGGACACTGGAAACGAAGATCAGAAGAAAAAACTTTTTCATTCTATAAAACTTGGTACCTTCCAGTTTTTACTATGTGCAACACAAGTTGCTAACATTCTCAGTGAAGCTTAATGATCATGCAATTTTAGATACATAAAGAAAAATGGAAGATGTGTGCCTCTGGGAGGGGAGCATGACAAGTCCAGGAAGGGGCACAGAGCAGTACTTTGGGTTAAGTTAAAGCTCAGCATGAACCTTGGGAAGAAATATGTGATGATGTCCGCAATTTTTAAAAACTGAATGGCAAAAACACAAATGAAGATGGATGGGTGGACAATGGGAAATAGATGGATAAATGGTGGGTGGGTAGATAGTTATAAATTACAAGTGGATGAATGCTAGGTAGGTGGGTGGGTAGGTGGATAATAGTTAATGGGTGAGAAAATGATAGGTAGTGGATGGATAAACAATAGAGATGGGTGGATAAAGGATTAATGGTGGTGAATGGATAACAAATGATGGGTGGGTAAACGGTGGGTGATGGAGAGACAGACAAGGGACACGGCGGGGATGGAAAGACGATGGTAAGTACACCAGCAGTCATGGAGAAAAATCTTTTTATAACTTAATTTCTTCATATAAAACATTTGAAAAGTTTTATTCGCTTGAGCTAGAGGAATAGCTAGATTGTGTTTCTATTCTCTATAGTAGAGCATAGGCTGGAAAAAGTAAAAGAAGAAAGTATTGCAGAGGTGAATCAAGTGTCAGTAAAGTTCTTGTGTTTTCTCTAAACTCTGCAACATTTATGGTACCTATTAGCACTCCATGTTTGAAGATCTCTACTCTTCTAATAGGTTTGCTTTGGTCTCGCTTTATGAAGACTAGTCATAGCTTTTCCCCAGGCTTCACTTTCCTCCAGGGGAACAGAGCAACAAGCCGCCTTGGCTGGTGTGGGTGTTAAGCGAATTGCCTCCCCAGAGCCTGGCAGAGCTGGTCTTAGCAAGCAGAAGTTGTTCTTCTTCCCAGTGGATACAGCTCAGGGGTGGACAGTAGTAGACGGTCGCCTGTGGTATTAAGGACAGTTGGAAACCTAGCTGAAGCCCCAGAAATCTGATCTCAGCAGTCCCCACCCTTCTGAGAGCCAACCACATTATTACAAACCCACACACTCTCCTGTTATTTATTCCAAAAATTTATATCAAGTTCTGATCTGGAGTCATATCCTCAGTCAAGAAGGGCAAAAGCATACAACCCATCCAAGCTATTAATGGCAAGACGTGGTATCAAAACAAAAGGTCACGTACCAGCTGGGAGGGAGAGGGAGCTGCAGGGTAGAGGGAAGGTATTTTGGCCTGGACTCTTTGCTCCCACAGTGGCAGACCTCTGAAGGACTTCTACCCACACCATGGAGAGCAGAGGAGATAGGCACGCCTACAGCAGGCATCTTCTCTACACCTAAACTAATCTGCCAGTATTTATGTACTATGTATTCTAAATTTTTTTTCTCTAATAGCAACTACAGGGGGTTGAATGTTGGCCCCCAAAAGAATGCATCTAAATCAGAAACCTCACAATCTCAGTGTGAGTTTATGTGCAAAAACAATGCAACAAGTAATGGCCCTGCCAGGAAGAAACTGGCCTGTCAATCTCTTTTGTCAATAAACAGCAAGTGAGTTCTGCTGAAGATGTCAGGCATGGTGATGTCTAACAGCCCTTTGATACTTACACCTCCCCGTATGTGACGCACCCCACTTTGAACTTGGTGACTGTTATACAAGGTGTTTCTAGAGACAAGTCAAAGCAGCGAGAAGGTGCTCTGCTAGACAGCCGCCTGTCCCCACTCTTGTCTACCAGGCTGAACAACAGCGGGCACAGTCATTTGCCACTCAGAGCTTCCCTATTTCCTGAGCAGAGGAGGTGCAGGAAACAGGGGCAGACATGGCATGCTGCTGCTTGCATCCCATTGTTTTCTGGGAAATCATCCCACTGGCTGATTGAACCCATGAATGGACACTAAATAACTCAAGTCATCCAGTGTGGCCTGTGCTGGCCACTCACATTAGTTTTAGACGGTGCAGGGAACTAAGCCAGCTCTGCCACAGTGGTCCCAGGGTCTCCGAGAGTCACTCTTTCTCTTGATGATGCACTGTGCTGTCCCTGCAGCAGCCACTGCTTCCACAAAAGGACAAGACAGATGTGGCAGGGGAAAGTGAGGACAGAATGATGTACAAATGAGCTATTTCATGGCACGGACTCCACAGTTTGTACTTTGCTAAAGCACAAATGGCTAGCTTTGCTGAGGCCTGTCTAGGCTGCTTTCTCTGGGTCTTTCACTGGGGACATCCCAAAAGATACAGACATCACAAATCCAAAGAGCCCTTTCAGCTTCCACATCCTATTTTACTTTAGTCTGTAAATTTTCATAGGCTTGAAAATGAAAACCCAAGGAAACAGCTTGATCCATCTCAGAGGGGAGATTGCGGGCTCTTTCAGATCACAGACCACATCAGCCTTGACTCCGATTCCCGTTCCAAGCCCAGGGCCTACTCAGAAATGCAGAGACTTAGTCATAAGCACAAGCCTAACTGCCCACTATGCATCACACCCATTGTCACCAGCACCATGGCTCAGCACTGGTGCTCATCTAACTGGACCCTGCTACCATCACCCGCCTTGGGAGGCATGTGCCACTGTGGGGCTCCTGGGATTCTCCTTAGTAACTCTTCTCTCCTTCTCCTTCTCTCTCTCTCTCTCTCTCTCTCTCTCTCTCTCTCTCTCTCTCTC